TTCGTGGATTTAGTCATAGCATTGTTCCTACACATTTAATAAACCAAAAGTATAAAGTAAGTATAAATTACAGCAATATTTGCATGTGCCCTTGTGTGCATCAGATGTGTAAGACAAATGAGAATAGAAGAGATATGTAGCTTAACACGAGGCTGTTGTTTGTATGTGTTTGAATAATCATGCAACAGATAAATGCATTTTGTATTTATTAAAAAAAGAACCTAATATAATCGATGAACTGTACTACATCTATTGTGTTTTCAATATCTGTTTAAAAAGAGGAAAAAAATCCATATCTGAGCATCCCTATTAATTTGGTCATTCTTGCCTTACTCAACCCTCTCTATATGTTACCATTTTTACAAACGCACTTAATAATTACTTTCTCATGGACTTAAATTATACAGACTGCAGTATTCTATTGTCTTGTTCCCGTTATGACATTTTCAAATTAACTCTGTGTCAAATAAAACAAATTTGTTCCAGAACACATTTTATCAATATGGCTCTTCATATCATTTTATTGAGCCTTAATAATAAACCTTCAGTTATTACCATATATTCAACTATAAATCAAAGCCAAAACATATAACTAACCTAACAATAAAAATGTTATCAGAACAATTTATCTTTTCACTAGAAAGATTTAAAGGAAGTCCCTGAATTATACAAACCTGCCCTCCCTCACTGAGAGTAATGGTCATCGCATACACGGGAGCTTTGTCTATTAATTATTTATCCAGCATCATAAAGCATGAAACTGGTGCCATGGCTAATCCTCAGGCCTTCTCTGTGAGACACCTCCAGTATATGGAAGCCTCTCGGGACCTTGGATATAAAATACACACATGCGCTTTCATAACCCTTCGCTCGCACCCCCCTTGGTACATTCTTGGAACTCTGCTTCTCCCTGAGTTTATCTGTGCACTGTCCTCCAGCTCTACTCTCCCTCCTCCCAGCCCACTCACTCCTCCTGTCTCAAACCCTGTCACGTTTTCTTTTTGGATCCTCCTTTGACTTCCTTTTCATTTGCTCGATTCTGTTCTTTTCACTGTAATCCCGTCTTTTGTCGTGTGTGGGATGATGTTATTCTTTGGGATGAGCGCTGGCACACAGCGGGTATTCAATCCTGAGGCGGAGGAAGTGTGGGGTTATCAGGGAGGGCCTCTTCCTGTCTGTAACACTGACTGGCTGCAGGGAAACAAAACATTCAACATCTTGATCAGGAAGCACAGTCATGGATGGTAAATTAGGCGCTAAGCACCGTTCATTGTGGTGAACAGTTTTAGCCCTGGAGCCTTTTGTAAAAGCTTTCACAAAAAGACATTTGTTTTGTCCAATAGATATGTTGAGGTTTACTGTATTTGCATGGTAGGAAATCTTTTGTAAATCCAACCCCACAGAAGTATTTTATGTGCACACTGGTTTCAGTTCAAAATCTTTCTGCTGTGAGGCATGAGCCAACCACTGCCACCATGTCTGATGCATGCACCCTGTTGCATTTATATGGGCATTGAGTTGACGTTTCTATGCTTGTAGCTTTATTAGATAAGTGAAAAAATTGGGCTTGCATGTCTGACCAACCATTGTCACAAGCAAATAACGAACTTTTAAGAAAACTGAGATTTCTCTTTCTTTTTGAGCTCTGCATTATTTGATTTTGTCCACGTGGAAGCATTGATAGCATGCAGCATGCGCGTGTACGCAGTTGTTTATATCCTGTTACATCAGCGTACAGAAACTGCTAACATGTTTACCAGTTCACACTGCTCTTGGCACGCTCTTTTTTTGCCACTGACCTGAAACCGGCAGCTGCCCATAATCACTGTGGACACGCAGCAAAACTATCGTCTCCTCCTCCAGCTGGAGACTTCACTCTCACACAGATGGCATACAAGAAGCTAGTATTTTATTACATGAAAAAATTACAACATCTGCAACTGATATCTATTAAGACTGAATGATTTGGGAACAATATCTGATTGCAATTTTTCTGATTGTAATTAGATTTGTGATTTAATAATAGGATTCAGTTCAAAGTTTTCATTTTATATATGTCCAGAAGAATGGACAGAGACTGAAATATGAACAGGAAAAACTAATACAAAAAACTTCAAAACATGTTTGTACAGATCTAAACCATGGAGTGTGTTTTTAGTGTGTTTTTATGCATAATTAGACAGGATTTTGTTGTTTATGGAGGAAATTATGCTACTTCAAAAAATTGCAGCTTTTGTGATACAGTAATCTTACAGCCCTTATGTCTATTAAAAAAAATGTAGATATATAGACAGACAGACATATAGATCCTAAGGGAAATTCAAGTTTAGTTTTAGTTTAGTGATAGTTTTTTAAATACAATTTATGTATTCTGTTTTCCATAAAGCTATTTTCTTTTCTTTCTGATTTTGTTGCTGACAGCATTTCTTGACTGTGAAGTGTCTCCAGTTCTCATTTGAGGCTTTATCACATGCATGTTTACAGCCTGGCCTGGGATTAAAGGCCGCGGTGGGCAGGACTGTCTGTCTACTCTGTCTGAAGAATGTGGAACAGTGCAAAGCTATGGACGCCCCCATTAGTGAATCATTAGTTAATAACATCATGATAAGAGGCTTAATAAACAGCAAGGATCTTGGAAGTATTGTTTATGAAAAGAAAATACTGTTTTTGCATTACACTTCAAGGCTTTTGTTTGAAGTTGAAATATACTAGTAGTTGTCTTTAATCTCAGTCCAAACACTCAGCTGCTCCATATGTACAAGGTTGTGTCCAGACTTTCACAAAAATTCAGATGGCAATGTTACGCAATGACAAATATTCTTGCAGGGATGAACAGAGATTCATAGTGAGACTAAGGTTAAACTTTAAAAAAGACAGAGTTTTGCATAAAATATAGACATGAACAGAATATTTTTTTGGAAAAATATGTGGAGATTATAAAAAGGCTGAATCGGCTGATAGTTCTGCTGCTGTGGTGGAAACAGGGGTCTAAAATGGTGGTAAAGAGACACAAAATCTACTTTATAGATGTGTTTATTTTTACCTTTTCTACACCAAAACATTATCTTAAACCTCTATAAACATGAAATATACATGTGATTCTTGTATTAGTTTATTGGTTTATATTTCAGTCTTCTCTCAAAACAACTGCTCCTGGATATGTAAAAAAATTGTACTTTGCACTATGTAACATCTAAAGTGGAGGATCCGCTACTTGCTTGGCTCCATGCAGATGTTTCTTTGCATGGAATGTTTCACAGTAGGGCATTAAACATATCTGCATCTCTTTTATTCAATTACAACTGTTTTATAGCCACCCAAAAAAATATGAAATAATGTCTTATTATGAACATACATGCTTGCTTTATCATAGATCTGACCATACTTGCCTTTATTGTGATTAATAAATTTATTTCCATGCCTTGGAATAATCAAGGCAAAATGTTAATATCTCCATTTAGACAAGGTGGCGAACCCTCCACCAGAAAAGTTACAATACAGTCCCAAATCAATTTAAGCCAAACTCAAGAATTTTAACTTTTCCTTATTTATCTGTATCCTTTTCTGCATAACTCCATATTGACTGAGTCCTCTGTCAGTCTGGGAGCATGTATCAGTATTTATTGAGGACATCTGCTGTGGTCATAAGCGTTGGTTTTCTTTGTGGGTGTGTCTCAGACTGGACTTCTGCTGCAACTGTTAGAAGTGTGGTCCAAAGCTGACATCATCGCAGTGTGGTCAACAGGCTTTGGGGGACATGCCGACTGTGGCTTGCAAACTAAAATAATACTTTAACTAGCTAGCTCAGAAATAACTTCTTAGGCAAGTTAGACAATGCATTTAACATAGAGTGTAATTTCAAGAGATTCAGGTTTGTGCTAAATGCTTTTATTTGAATGTTGGGGCGCAATGTTAAAAAGGTTAAATCTATAGACCTATGTTTCTTAAAGGGCCCCATATTACACTATTTTCTGTCTATGTTATAATGTTGTTTCCTCAGCAAAACATACCCAAAGTTATGTTTTGTTTCATTCACACGTGTTTAATACACAAACCCTGCATATGTAGTCTGAGTTCTTCTCTCAAGCTGTTCCACCTTGTGATATCATGTGGTAATACAGGAAGTGCTTTTCCCACCATTTACTATTCCATAATATAATATCAAAGTATTACAAGGACCTATAGGCCACCAATCAGGTCTAATCATGACTAAAAGTATCACTAACCCAGTAACCCTGTCCCAAATAATCTGTAATTGTTAAATTTATTGATACTTTAGCAAAACATTCAGTGTTTGGCACGTTAGATAAATAAACGTAAACATGTATTAACAGAGCCTATATTACGCTATTTTCTGATCTATGTTATAATGTTATTCCCTCATCAAAAGTTGTATTTTCTTTCATTCACACATTTAACATCCAAATCCTGCATATTTAGGCTGAGTTCTTCTCTCAAACTGAAAACACCTTGTTCCACCTTGTAATGTCATGTGGTAACACAGGAAGTGCTCCTCAGTTTAATTAAACTCCATATACCTTCACTAGAATCATTTGGATAATTTCAAAAATGTGTTAACATGAAAACTACCATTGCATGACATCACAAGGTGGAACAGAGGATTTTAGGTTTTGGAGATGTAGACAGACTAATAATTAAGGGTTACTAAAACATGTGTGAATGAAACAAAACCCAACTACAGTTATGTTTTTAATGAGATGAGATAACAACATTCAAACATGTCTTAAAGCTCACAAGAGTCAACTATGCGTAATATAGGACCTTTAAATGAAACCACAGTTTGCTCCAGACTATATGTGTATATATACGTGTGTATATGGGTGTATATGGGTGTATATGTGTGTATATGGGCGTATACGGGCGTCCCTGTCTACATTTTTCCCCATAGGACCCACATGTTTTAGGGAAAAAGTTGTGATTTATGGTCCATGCATGTTTGTCTTCATGCAACCTGAGCTCTCCTCTCCTGTCTCCTCCAGTTGACATCCGAGAAATCCGGGAGCTGCGGTTGGGAAAAGGATCCAGGGATTTCGAGCGCTACCCAGAGGAGGCTCGTAAACTGGACTCCTCCCATTGCTTCATCGTGCTGTACGGGCTGGAGTTTCGCCTGCGCACTCTCAGCGTCGCTGGTTAGTGCAAGAATGGCACATGTGGTGTTTAACTATTCAAATTCATTTTGTGGAGATGTTTTGTTCTTATATTCTCGCTCACTTTTCACTGTTATAGCTGAAATTGTGATACAGTTGAGTTTTATTTATGAATACAGAACATTATTTTTACATGCTTAGAGTCAGATCCCCTAACAAACTTAAACTTGAAATTTGTAACTTTTCTGATTGAGGGTGTTCCTGTTTGTCTTCATGGAGATTAGTCATGGGACGATATTGAAATGTGGTACCACGATTATCATGGCCGAAATAATTGTGATTAACAATTATATCTTGTTGACAATTTAAAAATGTTTTAGATATGAATAATTCCATATTTCAACAACTGCTTTAGTGTTATACTTTGTTTTATGTGAAAACAACAATGATCTAGAACATTCTGGTGATATAAAGGCAATTATTAAATTAAATTATATTATTGTTTGTTGTCACATCCCTAATAGAGATGTTATTGCTCTGTCTGGGATGTTCACATTATGTTATTAACCTTATCTCCATGGAAATAAACAGGTGATGCTTTTATGTCAAGTTACAGGCCAGATCTGTGGAGAGGAGACCCTGCTTACTCTAGCAATGCAGCTTTTTCAGCATTTTACAACAACAAAAAAACTGTAAGTGAAATGATAGATCTATGTGGAGACAAGCAGGTGGCAGACCCCTCACTAGAAAAGTTACATAGAGCACCTTTAAGGCCTCCTCCCTGGCAGCTGTACCCTGTAACCTCAGTCAGAATTAGCTACATATTCACAGTGCTTCTACTATCCCCAACTCTCCCCTCTGTCTGTGCCCATTGTGCCCACTGTGCCACTTCTTAAAGGCATACATATGCACAATAGTATCATTGTTTGTCCTGGTTTTAAAGGGTGTGAATGTAAGATACAGTATGTCTTTGTGTTGTTTTGTTGTAGCCTTCAGTGAAGAAGAAGTGAACATGTGGATCACAGGTTTAAACTGGCTCATGAGCGACACCCAGAGGGCTCCAGCTCCACAGCAGACAGACAGGTGTGTGCTCATCTATACTGTATATGTGATCCTGTGTACTGTTTACAAAAACAGCTCATCTGTGTTTTAAAATCAAGTTAGAATTTAATATGTGTACCATAAGGAGATCGGATCTGCCACCTGCTTGTCTCAATGGAGATGTTATTGCCTGGGATCCAAAATACACACTTCTTCAGTACTTTATAATACTTTACAATACTTTACAATACTTTACAATACCATACTTTTGTAACTGGTGAATCTCCTCGGTTTCAAATGGGTGTGATTGCCAGGTGGATTAACCAATCAGGGACATGCATGTTCTGTACTCATCGGAAGAAATAAAGGAAAAAAATATCACAAGGGGGCTGAAAAACTTTGTGGATTTCTGTAGCATCAGTGAGCCAAGCAAACATTAAGTAAATGCTAATCTGAGGTGAGAGAAATTTAATCTGTAAATCATAGGTGACCAATGAGGTCCTTCGTTTCACATATGTTACTTGAAAAAAAAATCTGATGCACGATCACGTTTGAGACACAACAGAGGACGTGGGAACCAAACTGACTGTATAAAAATACAAAGAGATATTATTCTGGATTTGCTAAGCAAACAAATATGTGAAAACCTTCAAACTCAATGAAATACAAAAAAACAACAGAACCAGTAATATCTTTAGCATCTTAAATGAAATAATTTAATCTGCTGCCATCTGCTTTTTAAATCAAATAACATTTTCTGACCTGTACCGTTTCCTGTGTACGTAGGTGGCTGAGGAAGCAGTTTGAGATGATGGACAGGAATCATGAAGGCAGGTGAGCTGTGCCAACAAATATGTCATCAACCTCTCACTGTGTTACATGCAGCAGCTGATTGGTCGGTCACAACACTGGGGGAAAGGTGGAGGTGAAACAGATCCAGATGTGATCAAAGAGGGCAGCTGTGACCTTTGACCCCTCCAAGTTCTCATTACCTATTTCCATGTTCTCTCAGTGTGCAGTGTGAAATAGGTCAGCATCTGCAACCAAAACACTGTTGCTTGAAATTAAAGATGTCATTGTTTTTCAGTGAATCATGGTTATTCAGGTCACAATAAAATCTTAATAACATGTAACAAATGTATTAACTGACCATCTTAGAAGTAAAAAAGAAAAAAAGACTCTTATTTAAATTGAATCTATATTCTTAAACTAATCTTAAGTGTTTGATGCAAGTTGATCTTGTTATTTATGTCACACTTTGAAGATGTAGACAGACTAATAATAAAGGATAACTCAAACATGTGTGAGTGAATCCAAACACAACTCCAGGTCTGTTTTTGATGAGATAACAATATTATAGCATGGCTTAAAGCTCACAAGTCAATGTTGTGTAATGTAGGGCCATTAAGAGTTACTTTTTAGCTTCATCTGTTGAAATGAAATAGTTTTATGCTAATAATAGTAAATTGATAGCCAAAATATTAGAAAATTAGTCTTTCAATTTTTAAGCCAAACGATTACTCAGACTTTTCCTTTGGTTAATATGGGTCCTCTTATTGGACGTGTGTGTGCAGGAACTGAAATCAAATAAGCAAAACCATTTATTTAATTACACCCTTCCAAAACAAGCTTGCTATAGGTCAGCCTGGGTCCTGGGATACCGCTCAATCCAGGACAAACTCACTGCCAGCTCCAGATATGAGACAGGACGTGATGCAGATTGTTCAGAGGGGATATGCTCCTGTCATTCTTTGAAAATAGAAACAGTTACACTGTCCAGACAGGAGCAAGCAGGAAGACCCTTGGACGGATGGACACTGTCTGATCACATGGTCCATAAGAGTGACCTACATTAACCTTTGTCTCCCAAAAACAATACAGTAAACACGTTACTCAATGCCTCGTGGGACATTTTATCCATTGTTTTCAGAATGATATAAAGTGGCCATAGCGACGATTAACAATTAAAAACAAAACATTACATCTTTTAAGTGGTCAACAATCTTCAAATCTGACACCTATAAGTATTTCTTTCAAAATGGCAAAACAATGTTTGGCAACACTGTCATATCAATGAGAAAATGCTTTAATTCTGTATATAAACATCCATACAGTTTTTCCTTTAAGCCTAAAAAGTCACTTAAGAGTAAAATTTTCAGAAAACAGGTCACCTCCTACATAGTGCCCCCTTTTGGTGATGTTGCAAATATCAATACTTCTTTATTCTCTCTGCGGTGCTATCCTTTGCTTATTATACTGCATATCTTTGTACAACCAACCTTTTAACATATTTTTCTAGCATCACAGTGAAGGATGTGAAGACCCTCCTGCCTCAGATCAACTACAGAGTCCCCAACATGCGCTTTCTCAAAGACAAACTGCAGGTCAGACTCAAACATTATATTGATACTTTGCAGTGACATCCCTCTGGGGGTGCTCTACATGTGTCTCTAATGGTGGCATGTTTAGGAGTTACCATGGTGACACAATGCACACATTAGCAAACACTGTCAAGGAAGTTTAAAAATTGTCTGAAAACCTAAGAAAAAACACAAAATTGATTTAAACAACACATTTTCAAGAGCCTGCAATCAATATAAGCAGGCCTGGTTCCATTTAAAAAAAAATGTGAGAGTGACTAACTGAAAAGATGCTGACTAATTATTGTGACCAGATTTTCAAAATAAAAAACTGGGACATCCCTGGTTTGTGGTGGTTGTAATAAAACAATTGTGAAACAAGTGCGTAATTAAGGAAAATTGTTCTGCACTCGGCACTAATGTGAGTCAGTATAGTCACATTTTCTTTATGTTTTGATCATTTTAAAGCAGCTTTTTTGTATTTTACTTAAACAAATGACAATTTATGCCTCTCTTTTCTGTTGGCGGGGATCAGATTAGTCAAAAATAGCGACATCTGGGATATTTCTTGTATAAAACTGGAACAAATCACTGGTTTTGGATAAATCTGCTGGGACAGGGGACACAGGGCTTAAAACTGGGACTGTCCCGGGTAAATAAGGATGTTTGGTCACCCTATGGCTAATGCTCATTAGCTTGTGACTCTAATGTTATTTGAGAGGGACTTGTTTAACAGCACAAAGGTTGTTTAGTTCCAACCACATAATTTCTTTATGGTCAGACTGTGTTAAAATAAAGCACAGTTTAAAGTTTAATAAAGCTTCAGACAGAGCAGTGTATACAGTTAGCATACCACTACCAAGGAATGTTGATGACATCTTCTGCAAAGTATTAATAAATCATGTTGATAGGTTTATATTCCAGAATTTCCCATGAATCATAGTTTGTTGTTTTCCTTTTTTTCAGGAGGTGGAGGCCAGGAATGACTTGTCGTACCCAAACTTTGCACAGCTGTACCGGACACTGATGTTTGATGCTCAGAGGACTGTGAGTATTACTGTGCTTTCATTCTCAAAATACCATTTAGGCTGGCTGCTTCAATTTTTACTTTGCTCTTACTTCTGAAAATATATTCTATTCCAAATAAGAGTTTTTTGAATTTGTCAGCACAATATGTGTCAAAATGATTATGTAAACAAATGCGATATCTGTATGTCTACCACCCAAATCCCAGTCTGATCTTATCAGGAATCATTGATTTATTTTTATTACTCATGCCATTTCATTTTGTTGGCATCAGTTTTAAAGAGAAAAAACAAAAAATCTGGCAATTAACATGTTCCAACCATTATGTGCCTTTTCATTATTGGCATGAACCAAAGGAAATATCATCATCAAAACTTTATTACAGACTTGTACTTGATTAAAATAATACTGTATTTGGAGATGTATGCCTCTTTTATAATCCTAGCTATTTAAAATGAGTTTAAAATGCTTAATAAATGCACATATGCATATGCATATTTCTATTTCTATGCAATATTCTGCATAGTTCACATTGCCTTTTACATTCAAATAATGTAAAACTAGCTGCATGCTGAGCGTTAGCCTGACTTCACTTGAAATGTCTGTTACTCTCTGTTGGTGTTAAATAAACTGTTATATGTGTTCTATATTTGACTGCACTGGTTAATGCAGACAAATAGACTCTGAGTAGGTCATGTGTAATATTGACTCTGCTGCACACTCCACTTCACTGCACTCACTGGGTCCTTTATGCCTCACCCACCCTCCACCTACCCCTGTTCCCCTCACCTGCCCTCACCCCCGCCCCTTCCTCAACCCCTCCTCACCCCCTGTGTGTTCCCAGATAATTGAGCAGCTGGACCTGTCCTTTCCTCTGCGGTGAGTCTCTGCTCCTCTCGCCCTCCTCACGTCTGGTCCTTTGTTTTCTGGAGTCACTATGGCCCAGTGTTATTCCATCATGTTTTCATTATTCAATATTGAGTTTTACTTGATGCCATGTGTGTTTTATAGGAATGTTGACCGACCTGAGCTGTGTCAGATCTCTCTCTATGACTTTCAGAAGTTTCTACAGATGGATCAAAAGGTACTCAGACGCAAAAATAGCTATGTTTTTTTTTAGTTTTTTTTTTATAGTGTTAATTATTATGATGCATCAGTCTCACATAGCAATAACAACCTCTTCAGGATCAAATTTAGCCAGGTAATTAATCAAATTTGAGTTGAGACTCATCTATTTAATCCAGAGATTCACCAATCCTCATGTCAGTTAAAATATGTGGTTTGGAGGAAAGGAAAATAAACTTAAATTTTAAAGTAAAAATGGATCAGTATGAGGAAAGAAATCTTGATCACATTGTAGTCATATTGACCAGCCCTAATAACACATTGAAATGGGGAGTGAGAGGTGGCGGACTGGATGAAGGGCCTTGCCCTATGACATATCAACAGCATCTTCCACGCGTATGCCAATCTCTCTCCCTGTTTATCTCAATTTAATAAATAGCCAGACATATCTATTACAATGTGGACTTGTCGACATTCTGAGAGAAGCACATGTGCCATGCCATCGTAACCTCATATAGTGTAGATTAAATGGCTAAGCAAATATTAATAGAGTGAAATAACATAATATAAATAGGTTATAGGAAAGCAGTGATTATAGAAACATTATGGATGGTCAAAATAAATGTTCTATTTGCTTGATTTGTTGTAGGAATCTTGGGCGTCTGATTTGGGTCGAGTGAGAGAGTTTCTAATGGCCTACATGAGAGGGGCTCCAGCACCTGAACCTCTTCTGCAACTGGACGAGGTCAGAATCCAAACAAATGCAAATATAAATGATAAAAACATTGAACTTTCTAAACCAATTTCTATTTTGTCTTGCAGTTCTTGACGTTCCTGTTCTCCAAAGAAAACAGTATTTGTGACCCACGCCTCTCTCCCCTCGTCCCAGATGACATGAAAAGACCCCTGTCCCAATACTGGATATCCTCATCTCACAACACGTATGTCCCTTAATATAAAATGAATCTTTAGGTTCTTAGTGGTCTTAGTTATTCAAATATCTGCATTGCAGTTGGCTAACTTTCTTTATCTTGTTGTGTTGTTTAGCTACCTAACAGGTGACCAATTTTCTAGTGAGTCATCTCTGGAAGCCTACGCTCGCTGCCTGAGGATAGGATGTCGCTGCATTGAATGTACGTCACCAAAATTAAGCCACTGGTCTAACTCATCTTTTATGATTAAAGATTCTGCTGTTTTTACTTTTGTTTACTGTAATAATGCATTAACACATAGGTCAGTAAGTTATATTTTGTTCAGCATAAACCACAATATTTATCCAAATAAACTTCATAATAGAAACTCTGCATTGACCTCCTATTCAAAACTGCAGGTCTGACCCCCCTGCTGCTGGCCCTTCCTTTTGTTTTATTAATTTTTTTTGTTTTTGTTTTAAATAGTCAGCAAACATTTTGAGCCCACAAGTAAATATAGGGTTGTTGGTATGAGTGGGGGAGAGGTGCAAAAAGGGTTTTGTAGCGCTCAAGTCTTAGTGTAGAACAACGCAGTATTACTCAGTCCTGTATGACTAAATCAAAATAGTTAATTCAAAATGGTAACTTAACAGCTGTGAATTATATTTTGCATAGTCTGTTCCCTTTACTGAAAAAAGTTATTAATATTTTTCAGTGGACTGCTGGGATGGACCTGACGACCTTCCTATTATTTACCACGGACATACCCTAACCTCAAAGATCAAGTTCCTTGATGTGCTCTACACCATTAAAGAACATGCCTTTGTCACATCTGAGTAAGGAAAACATGTACACAGTATAATATTTTAAACTGAAATTAATCTTGGCCAACAACTCTAAATTAGTCATTATTGTATTGGCCTATTTTTGGTGTTTATTATATGTTTGCATAAAACTAAAACTAGGAGCTTTCTGTACTTCTTTTCACTGTGGTTTTATGCTACATACCCGCACAAAGTGAATTGTATTATCTGTAATGTTAATTTGTGAACTCATGTGTGCAGGTACCCGGTCATCTTGTCCATAGAGGACCACTGCAGTGTTGTCCAGCAGAGAAACATGGCAACTCACTTTAAGAAGGTCTTTGGAGATCTGCTGCTGACCAAACCTGTTGACAACAACGCAGAAGAGCTGCCCTCGCCCTACCAGCTCAGACGCAAGATACTCATAAAGGTATTGCCGTTTATAATTGTTAACACTTTTTTTTTCCTTTCTTCTTTGTCTTTCAGGGGTTTTTTTATATGATAGTGTTGCATTTAGTATAGAGGAAATCAGATCTGTGGAGAGGCTCACCCTCACAGTCAGAATGCTTGTTTTTCTAGACATTTCTGAGCTATAAACCATCTGTTATTTAATAAATGTAAGGTACAGCTGTTTAATGTCATATTATGGAACATTCATAGCAGAAAAATGGCATATCCATAGAAACAAGAAGATGACGGACCCCCAACAGGACAATTATACAGTGCACCTTTAAGATTTCAACTTGTTTTAACCGTTAGAAGCAAACAAATTATTATCAAGAATTCATTTTTAACCATAATAAATTGAAAAAATAAATTGTGAACTGTGTAACTTTTTTGGTGGAAGGTTCTGGTAGAATGTTATTGCTTCATCTGGAATGTTCCACAGCATGGCATTAAACATGCACTAGTATATCTTGCATTTACAGGTGTGTTATAGTTGCACTCTGCCTGTGAGCAGGCTTGCCTCTCGACAGTTCTGACTTTGAGACTTTGAGATAGATACATTTAATGCCATTGTGTGAAACATTACAGACAAAGAAATAAAATATCCATGGAAACAAGCAGCTAGCGGATCCTCCACTACAAAAGTTTTATAGTACACTTTTAAAATGTGTCTATATGTATTACATGATGTATTATAAAATCATTCAGTGATGCAGCAAAGTTAGTAGTCATGTGTCACATCTTAACAGTGCTGAGTTTGATTTCCAGGTTGTTAAATGTTATCATGAAAATATATGAATGCCTCCCATTTGACAGCACAAGAAACTGGTGGAGGGTACAGTGTATGAGGAAGTGTCCAGTGCCAGTTACTCTGAGAACGACATCAGTAACTCCCTAAAGAATGGCATCCTGTACCTGGAAGACCCCATCGATCATGTGAGACTATGAGTTTTCGTGTTTTAATGTGACATTTATGCAGTACTTTTATGAGTTTTGTGTTTAATTTAGTATGACATTTATGTAGTACTTTTATGAGCTTTATGTTTAAGTTAATATGACATTTATGCAGTATTTTTATGAGTTTTGTTTACTTGTGTTTTTATGCAGACATGGACCCCACACTATTTTGTCCTGACTACACACAAGATCTATTACTCAGAGGAGACGTCCCACTACCAAACAGCTGAGGAAGAGGAGGAGGATGAAGGAAAAGAGGTATTCATATATAATTAAGCGTTTGCCATGAAACTGTCAGTGAGCTAGACTAAGAAAATATGATAGAATGTATTGACATTTACTGTAACATTTTGATAGTGTTACTTGCTTGTTTGTAAATTTTCCTGCTTTGCCTGGAATGTTCCACAGTATGGCATTTAACTTGCCTCTCTTATTGGAGGCAAGCAGGTGCTGGTACTAGCCCAAATTACTTAGTTAATTAAAAAGTCAGTTCTGTGGAAATGGCCACCCTGCGTAAAAGGTCTTTAAAACATTCTGTAACTGAAGAAGTGCAAGATTTATTCCCATACTGTGGAACATTCCCAGCAATATAATCACATCATTAACAAGAGCAGGTAGCAGACCCAACACCAGTTAGTTACTTTTACTTTTAGTTATAGTCCATTTCAGAAGACAGATGAATCAAAGCAAGTTACATTTTATAAAGTAATGTATTTTATACTGTGCTTTTCAAGACAAATGTTCTGTTTTCCACTCATTCTCGATTCAGCAGGAGTGCAACAATAATGAGCAGCACTGTGCGGAGCGCTGGTTCCACGGGAAACTGGGCGGGGGCAGAGATGGGCGGCAGGTGGCAGAGAAGCTACTGCAGGATTACTGTGAGGGAGGGGGCAAAGATGGCACCTTTCTGGTCCGAGAGAGCGAGACCTTTGTGGGGGACTACACCCTGTCCTTCTGGTCGGTAATATTCAGAGATGTCAAATTCAATCTAACATTTTAGTGTATTTGTTATTATTATCTGAAATATGTCTTTTGGATTATATTTGTTTTTCATACAGCATTCATATTCTGAGATATTATATTTAATTTAATTGTTAGCCATATGTATCATAATCTTGATACATTTTTGCATACGGATACACTATTTCTTTACCAGGAATGTTTCACTATATGACATTAGACCTATCTACAGTATCTTGCTTTCTTTATGTAAATAGGATCTGACCTGTACTGTAGCCTGCTTGTGTCACCTGCTTGAGATGGATATTTTGTAACATTACAGGCAAAGCAATAACGTCTCCACAGACTCCAGACTCTGCAAGAAAAGTTACATAGTGCATCTCTAAAAATGTGTGTATCCTATCTACAATACAGTACATGTATGTTTTTGAAATTGATATGCTGAAAGCTATTGGTCTGCTCATAAATAGCAAACAAAAACATTTAAAGATGCACTGTGCAACTTTTCCAAGGCCTACCACCTGTTTTTCTCCCTGCTGATGTTATTGCCACCTACTTGTCTTTATGCACATATAACTGAGGAATGTTTTAATTAAAGCAATAAAAACACCTGAAGACAATCATATCCTCTAGAAAAGTTATACAATGCACCTTTAAGCATCAGTCACTCATATTAAAACAATACTGGAGTAACCCGAAATAAACAGATTTTTTTCTATGGCAGGCGCTCAGGGCGGGTGCAGCACTGTCGGATCCATTCTCGTCAGGAGTCTGGCTCTACACGTTTCTACCTGACGGATAACCTGGTGTTCGACAGTTTGTACCGCCTCATCTGCCACTACAGAGACACGCCCCTGCGTTGCAACGAGTTTGAGATGAGACTCGGAAACCCCGTGCCCCAACCCAACGCCCACGAGAGCAGAGAGTGAGTGCTCGCTCTGGACCTACTGTTTATGTGTGTGACTTTGTGTGGAGTGACTTCTTCAAGCACAATATAAAGAGTGAGAGCAGAGAGTGAGTGCCCACTCTGGATCTATTGTTTTTTTTGTCTTTTTTCACAGTATCTTCTTCATGTACAACAGAGCATTGTCATGATACTAAAATTTCAAAGTTTGATACAAATGAAAAAAGCATATATTTATTAAAATGCTACCAAAATTACAGTAAAATTTTAGTTGTCAATTTGGTACCAGATTATACATGATTTTTTATGGGTTCTTTGTGGGACATCTGTGATCATGTGAATCATAAATAACAGATTTATGCAACATAAAATACATTTTTTCAAAACCTGCTTCAAATGCTTGGCCATGATTTGATGAGTTACTATATAGATGGGTCAGTCCATATGAAATCAGCCGCCCTCCCCTATGAGCCATCTCAGATTTGGCTGAAAAAAATTTCAAAAACTGTTTAAAATCACCAAATGAAAGAATCTCACATTTTAGCTCAATCCCTTAAGTCGTTCCTGAGTTATGACCCGTTGAAATTTTGGGGCCATACCGACTTTTTCGGAAGCCTTAATTTATAAGCATGTTTGAGAGACCATAACTTCATAAAAAATAGAGCTAGGAAGTTGAAAAAATTGAAGATTATTTCTGGTACATTGTTTGTGATGGTTTTGGTGGCACAGTAAAATGCTCATCTGCAAGGACCAGTCTTCAAACAACTGACAGCAATCAAATATTAACTGCACCCCAGATGTCTGAGTGGGCTTCACAAAACATAAAGAATGTGAAGTTTTTCTTTACAAGCTCTAAATACATTACAAACCATGAACTTACTTCCAAACTAGATGAGCGTTATAGCAAGGCAAAGGCTGTGAATGATACTAGATCACACCACAGTTTCATTCTGGTGTCAAATGGTAAATTAGAAATGAGGAGAATATCTCAAGATCATGTATGTACTGAAGTTTCAGTATCTGAAACACAAAATGAGATTGTGCATTGTTCATTGGGAATATTTCAGAGCATTCAGATAAACATGGTGATGTGTATGTGAGATTCATGAGTGGAGATGACAGAACCCTCATCTGTCCTTATGAACATCGGCGGAACCACGTTGGGTCCCATTTGAGCATATAATCTGTTGTATTAAGGCACCAGAAGTTCAGGGAAGAAGAGCATGAAATGATTGCCTTGACACTGCAGATTATGACAGGATCCAAACATTACTTTTGAAGTTCATTAGTAGTTAGGAACACTTAGTGTGCAAGATACAATACAGACGATCTACATGTAGGTGGCAAAGAGAACAAAATGGGCATATTTTTCCAGTATTTTGGTATTTTCCGCTGAGGTTGTTTTTCACAATGAATTTTTAAAATGTAGCAGTTGAACAAATAACAGACCAGATTACTCTATTTTGGTAACTTTTGTGTCAGTATCAATTTTTTCCTTGATAATGCCTTGTAATATTTTTGTGCAAAAATAATACAAATATGGTGGTACTGAAAGCCATGGTTATAGAATCAGAAACTTTGTGATTTAACAGGCAATGAGTATTCCAAATGTAATTTGCCTTTGATCAGTTTCCATGAATACTATCTTAACTTTTGTTGCTTTGCTTATACACCATGAAAAAAGCTATTTCTATGTGAGATAACAAATTATCTTCCTCAAATAAAAATAGAATAAATAATGCAAACAACCCTTTTTTCATAATTTTGTACAGAGTTATTAGTTGAATTTTCTCAATGGATTAATTACTCTTTTCCAAGCAATGTACCACAAATAATCTCCAATTGTCTTCCATAATAACAAGCAATTAGTGTTTAAATCTATCTACCTTTCTAGCAGGTGGAAAAATGCCTAAGCTCCACCAAAAATGACCCGTGAAAGCTCATTTTCAAAAATTCCATTTGAAATGAAGGAAGTTAATAGTAGATGTTTTATTACTTTAAACTAATCAGAATATGCCAAAGTTTCTCTGGTTAAAATGTTATCAACATCTAACTGTGCCCACATGGGGAACCGAGGGTCCAAAGAAGGGACCAAAAAGATCATATTTGGTCTGTGACCATATTTGGGACTCTACACCATCCACATGAAAGCTCAGAAAAGTGTGAGATTGCTGTCAGAAATGGTCATTCTCTCAAATATTCAGGTTCAACAGTTAATTTGTAAATACCTGCTTGGAGTAAGTAGATCTTGGACCTCAAAAATTAAAAAAAAATTGAGCGGCAACCAAATGTGAGATATTGGGTGGCCACAGCATCCCCCTTAATAAAGATGCCCAATATTTGACAACAGATCCAGAATCTATGACCAAGAATGTACAAAAATACAAATTTTCAGCTTCCTAGCTCTATTATTTATGAAGTTATGGTCTCTCAAACATGCTTATAAATTAAGGCTTCCGAAAAAGTGGGCATGACCTCAAAATTTCAATGGGCCATAACTCAGGAACGACTCAAAGGACTGAGCTAAAATATGAGATTCTTTCATTTGGTGATTTTAGAATTTTTTTGATTTTTTTTCAGCCAAATCTGAGATGGCTCATAGGGGAAATTCCTTGAAAACCTCTGATTTCATACAGACTGACCAAGATTTATAGAATGAGTTCATACATTTTTTCACAGGTGATAAGGACATTGTGCCATTTCTAAGAGGAGTAATGTAGTTCATAACACTTAAATAGTTTTGTATTTTAAAGGTGGTACCACTCGAGCTTGTCCCGGGTCCAGGCTGAACACATGCTCATGCGTGTTCCCAGAGATGGAGCCTTCTTGGTGCGGAAACGCAGTGAACTCAACTCCTATGCCATCTCCTTCAGGTAAAGTTATACACTGTGGATGATATAGTTACACTTAACCAGTAACCAGTAAGTCATTCTGCTTTTGCTTTTTTAGGGCTGAGGGTAAAATCAAGCACTGTCGTATCCAGCAGGAGGGCCGTCTCTTTATGCTGGGCAGTTCGGCTGAGTTTGAGAGTTTGGTGGATCTAGTGAGCTACTATGAGAAGCATCCTCTGTACAGGAAAATGAAACTGCGCTACCCCATCAATGAAGACACACTGGACCGGATGGGCACCACTGTAAGATTCATTCATAAAATGGTATATTAAATATGCAGAGAAACTGCAGTTTTAAATTTGTATTTCCAGGAACTAGATTACGGAGCGTTGTATGAGGTTCGAACTCCTCATTTCTATGTGGAAGCTAATAAAATGCCAACAGCCAGGGTAAGTTTTGTACTAAATTCACTTGAGACAAGTTAAAATAATCAATATTTTAATGGAATTTTTTTGTTCCAGTGCACAGTAAAAGCTCTATATGACTACAGAGCTCAGCGAGAGGATGAGCTGTGCTTCCCAAAACAGGCCCTCATCCTAAATGTGGAAAAGCAAGAAGGGGGTTGGTGAGTGGCTAGAAAAATTACTTCCAACTATGGATCTCAAGTTTATTGGTTTAGTGATAATGGTTATTCTTCATGTCACAATGTAATGGTGAAAACTAACAATATTAATTGTGAGAATATTAAAGACAAAAACATGTCATTTCAATTCAACCACTATTCGTAGGTGCTTAAAAAAACAAAAAAAAATACCCTTTAATGTTGAGTGTGACTGAGAGTACAGAATCTGAGGCACTCTGATAGGTTAAAAGTCCTTTATAAGAGCAAAGGCTGCCTACATGTTTCGGTCAGCAAGGCCTTCTTCAGGGCATATTGTTCAGGACATGTAGATGCTTGTGTTACTTTTGTATGTGGCTGTTTGTGTCACATTAACTTTACTTTATTATTCATAAACTTTGATTTCATACAGTTGGTCACATGCTTGATAGAATAATGGTTTGCTATTGGACAGTGTAGTATGTATGAAAAAGAAGTAAAGATTTGTGTCAATAATAATGATTAATTTTTTAGATCACAATTATATTTTTTCTCACACTTACTACGGTAAGTGTGAGAAAGTCTAAAATGTTACATTGTGAAATCTCTACTTAGAACTGTGTTACTTAACAGTATGTTATATTTAGGTGGCGGGGAGACTATGGGGGGAAAAAGCAGCTTTGGTTTCCTGCAAATTATGTGGAAGAAATGCCTAGTTCTCCGACCAGAGAGTTGGATGAAGCAGTGAGTTGCCTCTTTCATATAGAAGATCTAAGTAGTATGTATTAACACATTATTTGATATGATAATTATGTCTATTTTTTTTTTATTTTTCAGTCGTCAGAAAACAGTCCTCTTGGAACATTTCTCAAAGGCTTTATTGATGTTCCCAGTTGCCATGTTGGTAAGGATTTGTGCTATTTAACTTTTGTGTAGTTAAACTGTACTAGAAGTGCCATAGGAGCTTAAATTTGAGTTGTTATAAGTTACTGAAATGAATTGCGTATTGCTACCAGCAGTGCAAAATCTGTGTATTAACTTACTTTTATTGTTAGTACAAATTAAAATCGTCAAAAATATAGTTTTGAAGGTACAGATTATATACTATTATATACTCTATACTACTTTAAATTGTTGTAAATTGTACTTAAAGACACACAACATAACTTTTTGGTAGAGGGTATACTTTTATTTAGATGTGACTATTTGCCTGAAATGTTCCGCAGTATGGTAATAAAATGCTTTTATTGCTCGCTTTCTTGCCTGCTTGTTTACATGAAGATAACTTTAATGCCATATTGTCGAACATTCCAGGCAAAGCAATAGCATCAACCCCGATACAAGTAGGTGTCGGACCTTCCATCAGAATAGTTACATAGTAACATACCTTTAAATTTAAGAGAAAAAGATACTCAATATAGTATAAAAAATCCATTATATGACATTCTTCTAATAGATACACAGGATTGAAAACCACTATTGTGTCTCTTTTCTGTTTTCTCCTTCAGTGGTGCATAAAGATGGGAAGAACTTGCGTCCATACGTGTTCACCATTCACTCCCAGCACCTGTCCTCTGTTCCGGTGCAGACGCTGGATGTGGCAGCAGACAGCCTGGATGACTTGAGCAGCTGGGTCAGCCGCATCCGTGAGGCTGCTCAGAACGCAGACGCTCGGGTCAGGAATACTACTAACACGTGGACTTTATGATTCAAATCATTCTGTCCTCCCTCTGTTCCTCTGAGTCCTCTTCATCCCACTGCCTGTAGACATGCATGTTTTATATACGTTTGTGACTTCCCCCTAGTGGGCAAAAGTAACTGTCTGCATCTGTGAATGTCTGACTCCCTTAAAGAAAAAGCAGACACTGAATTATAAGTGCCTTTATGGTTGTTTCTTCATGATCACAGATGCAGGAGGAAAAACAGATGGAGAGAAGAAAGAAGATCGCTGTGGAGCTGTCAGACCTGGTGGTTTACTGCAGACCGGTACCTTTCAATGAAGACAGTAAGTTTGCATATTCTCATATAATTTACCATTTATCTTTTAATGTCCATTATTAGTAAAGCCCTACCAGATAAAATTTTAAAAATAAAAATAGAAGTGCACTTTTTTTTTCATTATGGTGCAGAAAAATATAGAAAAACATGCATCAGCAGGTTTGCACAAAATCAATCTTATCTAGCCTGGAAGAGGACCTCCAACTGCTTGTTTCCATGGAAAATTACTATAATATTTTATGGCATAAAACTGATCTATTTCCATGGGGAATGTTGATAAATGGTTTTAGCTTGAAAGCATGGTTTTAACTTAAAATTTCCATGGAAGGAACAGGTGATGTGAAATCTCAAGAAAGTTGTTTTGCTTTAAGCTGATCCATTATAATTTCTAATGAATGTATTCATATGAATATAATTTCCTTGACAGAGATCGGTACAGAAAGAGCCTGCTACAGGGACATGTCATCTTTCCCGGAGACCAAAGCAGAGAAGTTTGCAACTCGTGGAAGAGGGAAGCGTTTTCTGCAGTACAACCGGAGACAGCTGTCCAGAGTCTACCCCCGAGGACAAAGACTGGACTCCTCCAACTATGACCCTCTGCCCATGTGGCTCTGTGGGTCACAGCTGGTGGCTCTCAACTTCCAAACACCAGGTCAGAAAACACTATACTCACTGACCTCCCTTTGTAATGGCATATATGAGCAAAGAAAATAGATACAAAATGTTCCTGGGTATTTGCTCAATCAGTGTCTAGAGAAGGAAAGACCAGTCAACTAAAATTCTCCTTCATTTTTCCCCATAGACTTTTTGAAAAATTCAAAGACACAATGGTGGCTATTATTATGATTTTATTTATTAATTTTATATTTGTGAAAAGTCTATGACAAAAAAGTAAATTAAAAATACTCCACTGTTGAGCTCCATAAAGTAACCATCCATCATGTCCCTATCCTGGTGTGTGTTTGTGTGTTTGTGTGTTTGTGTATGTGTGTATGTGTTTATGTGTGTGCATGTGTTTCTGTGCAGATAAGCCCATGCAGCTGAACCAGTCCCTGTTCATGCTCAGTGGAGGCTGTGGGTTTGTGCCACAGCCCGACATCATGAGAGACGATGCATTTGACCCATTTGACAAGGACACGCTGCATGTGGAGCCCATCACAATACAACTGCAGGTCAGGAAATACTACACAAATGTAAAATAACAATAATAATAATAGTAAAATACAGACAGAATTTTGTGTGATCGCTGTTGTATCAGGTGTTGGGAGCTCGTCATCTGCCTAAAAATGGGCGCAGTATCGTGTGCCCGTTTGTGGAGGTAGAAATCTGTGGAACAGACTATGACAGCTGCAAGTACAAGACAGATGTAGTAGGTATGTGTGCAGGTGACAAAGTCAAGGGCATACTGTGCCATTTCTACTGTATATTTACTTTACTTTCAAATGTTCAGTGACTAGACTCTCAAAATTGCTAACTTTGTGTATTTACTTAAGCTGTAGCAAAATAATTTCTTCATATTAGTTAATTGATATGTTAAGTTAGTTTAGAAAAACACTTCTAAAAATATATAATTACTTGATTCACTTTAACAAGTATTTTGACTTGTCTGAGGACTTTTTTCCCTATCCTATAATGCAACTGTAGAACAAATGTTGACTACTTTTGGTATAGGCGCGATTCTGATGAGGTGGGTGGACTGGTTAGCTGTAGCATATCTTAGTATGTGACGTAACAATGTTAAAAACACAATGGAGCACATCTAGAATTATCACATGGCATCATAAGATGGAACAGAGTGCATATGCAGGAGTTATGAGTTAAACATGTGTGAATCAAGCAAAACATAACTCCAGGTTTTGATGAGGAAACAACATAATAACATAGATCAGATAATAATGTAATATGCCCTTTAAATGCAGTTTCCAGTCCTCAACAGAGCCACCTCACTTCCTATGACTATGATTTTTATCTAAACCTCTCTTCTCCCTCACAGCTGACAATGGCCTGAACCCAGTGTGGCTCCAAAAGCAGTTTGTGTTTGACATCCATAACCCAACCTTCTCCTTCCTGCGCTTCACTGTCTTTGAGGAGGACATGTTCAGCGACCCCAACTTCCTGGCCCAGGCCACGTGCCCTGTGCGCCTTCTCCGAACAGGCAAATACCTAATGTATTATGACAATACCTGGAAGGCAATTCATGTAACCAGGTATGCTGTAAGAACGCTGTTTGCTTTGGACACTGAGGAATAGACAGGAGGCAGAGGTAAAGATTTTGAGGTCTTAGTTCATTATAGTTATAGTAGGTAAAATCCCCCAGCTAAGGTAGTCCTGACCAATGGTCAAAATTCAATGGTCATATTTTTATATAGCACTTTTCCACCTTCAAGGCACTAAAAGTACTTTACATCAAGGAACCACTCACCCATTTATGTACGAGGTGAGCTAAGTATCTTGCCCAAGTACACAACATTCATCTGTTTGCGCTGGAATCATGTTGCCAACCTGTAGGTCAGTGGATCTGACCACTCTACCACTGATGTTTATGTCGAGAAAAGGAGTGTACCTTAACCTTAGGGAAACAAACATAATAGTAGACAGATAAAGTTATGGAAAGGCAGTTTTGTCTCTGATGTGTGAAGAAAACTGTAAATGAAATTAAAAGACATTCAATTTCTGTTTTAGGCTATCGCAGTGTTTCCCTTAAGAACAGCTACAGCGAGGAGCTAGAGTTGGCCTCGCTGCTTGTCCACATAGAAATTGTCAATGCAAAGGTATTTTATCATCTTTTCTGTATTCAAATTATATACTACATATTGAATTACCCCTGTCTCTTGTTGGCTGTAGGAGGAGGATGATGAAAACCTGTACACGTCTATACAGCGATTGCGGGATAGGACCAGTGAGCTCTCCACTCAGGTGTCACTGCTGGAGCGGGCGGGCTCAGCAGAAGTGGGCTATCAGCAGAGTCTGGAGGAACTGAGGGCTGCACAGGATCAGTTGAGTGAACTCGTGGAAGCTCGCAACCGCAGGTCAGATATCAATATTCTGTCCTCTTTGAATAATAGGAATCAGTTTACGGTCTGGCTAGTTCTGAGATATTTTGGTATAAGGTTTTGACCACTGATATTGTCCAAATGAAATCAGGAATTTAGTTTTTCCACATGAAAACCTTATGAATGAACCAGCTTCATCTATAGTGTACAGAAGTTATATAAGGTATTTGAACAATGATGTAATATAAAAAATGTAAAATGTTAACTTATACATTTTTCTAAAGGGGGTAGGGTACAATTGTACTACACTACTGAAATACTCCAAAATAGTAAATATAAAATACACTTTCCTGAGACTACTTCAAAATAAATTAAGTCAAATTCATTGATTGTAACAGGGGTTATGATTATTATTCATTTATTTTGTAATAGTATATATTTTTCAAACATTTTGAATGTGTATAAGAAAAAATAATTTCTAATTTACTGTACAATATTTTCATCCTTTTCATCTTTTGCAATAATTTTCTCAAAAATATTTGTAATTTTCTTTCCCATTCAGGCTGATTGAGAAGAAAAGGAGAGAGAAACTGAGGCAGCAAGTAGCAGCCAAGCGCAGCTAATTGTCTTGGTCACTAGAGGGCTCTAAAGTCAACGCAAAGCTTGTGCAACTAACTGGTTCAGCTTTCAGTAGACCTGTCAGAACTGGATGAAAACTTGTTTCTCCTCATACCAAAATGTGAAACGTTTGCTGTCAGGGGAGCAAAAAACAAACAAAAGCATCTCATGGACTAAAATACCTAATGTTTTAAGCTAATAACAATCACAGAGGTGGAGACAGAGGAGCAAAGTGGGGACTCTTCTCCAAAGCTCTTTCACTTTTAAGATAACTTTTTATAACGTTTTATATTTGAATGAAATTGATGTCAGCTGCACCTTATCCAAATGTATGCGCAGTAGCCTACAGTCCGCTGATCACAAAGTTTAAAGTATTAGCTTTTTTCCCAATAAGTGACAAACCAAGCTTTTTAATCATTGGTGTCTTACTGCTCAAAGTCAAATGTGAGAAAATAAGATTTCATTTTTTCCACACACTCATCCTGTAAGTTATTTTAGTTTTATTAAGCAGTAATGTTTTCTAATTGGCATACAAAGGTGCACTGCGGAATATTTCCAGTGAAGAGACCAGTCACCTGCTTGTCTCCATGGAAATATTACTGCTTTGTCTAAAGTGTTTCATATTATAGATTCTATCACGAGGAAGGCCATTCAGATCCTTGGAGAGTCACCCCATTCACAGAATGAATGATTGTATTTTTTTAGCAATAGAAACACCCAGTAATGAATGAATGTGGATATGTTTAATGGCATACCATTGAAACATTCCAGGCTAATAACATCTCCATGGAGACAAGCACGTAGTGGACTCTCCACCAGAAAAGTTGCGCAGTGCACCTTTAAGCATATTATAGACATGTAAAGCTGATCTAATCCTTTTAAAAATGATAATGCAGATTTAAAGACAGCTGTGATGGGCTTTTGAGCTCAAATACATTTACAGAATAACCTCTGGAGAGGGCTGAAATAAAGGCTACTTGTAACTAATAGACAAGTGAAGTGCAGAGTTTAAAGTGCATATGACAGGTTTGCTTTTTCGTTATGTCAATTAATAACAATTATGTTTTGGTCTTTGTTTAGTATATGGTGGATCGATAACCCTGCTCACTGTTAGAATACCTGTCTTTCTAGATATTTTTGAGCTATAAAACCATTTGAAGTAATTTAATAATTGTGAAGTAGAGCTGTTGTCAATCAAAATGTTACACAGTGCACCTTTAATTATAAAACTATGTTAATTAGGTTTGAATAAAATCGTAGTCTAACCTGTCATATGCACTTTAAGCCCTTTGCCAGAAACACAAATAACTCAGGTCAATAACTAAGAATGAAGAGAGAGGAGCGGTGGGCACTTGTAGCAAAGGAAATCTCGTGTCTGTGCCTTCTGTGAGTCGACTGTACACACTGCAGGACAATAACAGGTGAATAATGAAGCCAGTATAATCCAATGAACAACTGTAATAGTGGGAGCGAGTACTACTTTGGGTTGGACTACTACTCATCAGGTGGGGCTAAAGGTAAAAAGACTGATCATGTGTTTTTATTGTGATTTAATGATATATACTAATAACTTTTACCTGGGAGAGCACAAACTGGATGAATTAAATAACAAACCCTCATCAAACTACTCAAGAAGGTCTTAAACTACTACTTCTAAGGGCTCTAATCTATACTACCTTCAGAGAGGCAGGGTGGAGAGCGCCCCCTGGCGGTCAGTTGCACAGGGGGTGGCTGTGTTAAACGTGTAACTATTAAGGGCTATAGGACAATAAGCAAAGCACTTGTTCACCTGCCAACTCTGTGTCATGCATTTCTCTCAACTAGGGCTAGTGCCATCGTCTGACTTTAATCAACAGATGTGGATCAACTGGTCTGGGATCAGCCAAATACAGGTGCAAAAGACCCACTGCATGGCTTCATAATGGAATAGGTAACACTTTTAAAACTAGACCTTAATTATCCTTAAAAATGCACAAATTAAGACTTAATTCCTATTGAACAAATAGTTTATTAAGAAAGGTTCAGGCTGAGTAACTACTTAAAAAGGAACACCTGCTTGTCTCCATGGAATTGTTATTGCTTCACCTAGAATGTTTCATACCATGGAACATTCCAGGCAATGCAACAACATTTCCATGGATGCAAGTAGGTAGCGGACCATCTGTGAGTGAGGCTGCGCCTGATATTTTACTGTCTTAAAAACTTGAAATATAGAAGTATAGTTAATTTGCAGTGCAGACTTTCAGCAGAATTTTAAAGTGACTGTAAAGCTAACAACAACTAGTATGCTAATGTGCACTTTCTAATTAATGGACAATAATGCTTATACAATATATCCACTGGCGCAAGACACATTTTGCTCAAATACGTAGGGAAAAATCACATGCAGGGCCTTTAAGAGGTTAAAGTTTGGGTATTAAATAAATCTCTAAATCCCTGAATCATTCGTAATAAACAATATGATTATGAATTAAGTCTTTCTTAATGCGTTATTAAAGCTAATTTAGGTGAAGTTATCAAATAAGTGTTACCAAATAATAAATAATCCACACTCTGTCTAATTTATCATTGTACATATGTTTATTTATCAGACCTGTTCTCCTACATAAAAATATTCATAAATGTTATGAATTCAGATTATTGATGATTATGTCTGCAGAAATCTTGTTTGTAAGCTCCCTTTAAATGTCCCACTGATTCAGACCTATATACACCTGCACAGTGGAGCAGGGTCTCTATGCAAAGTTCATCTCTGGGCCTACAGCTTTTGTGAAATAGGCCAAGTTGTGTTTTCTTTGTCTGAACTGTTCAGTATTATTCCTCTGCATTTCAAATCAGTGCAAGTTTCCATTTAATAAAGCTCTTTCATGTAAATCTGACTTTGTTGGGTTTTTTTTTTTAGGACTTGGCAAGAAAGGAAAAAAATTGCCTTTTTCCCTTTATATTGATCAATAATGAATTTCTTTATTTCTTTCTTTTTTTTTTTGTCTCATCAAAACAAATAAGAATAGTGTTCAGTATTAATTTTCTGAACATAAACAATACAATCTTTTAACCATTGCTAATTAATACAAGACACTCAATGAAGGCTTTTACTGAGGATGGTTATTTGTACGTCGTCATGCATTACAAATGTCAAGGTATATGCTCAGTCAGGTATAAAGTTGACAAATTATTCATCAAACTGACCCTCCACAGAACAAAACATTCTCTCCTGGGTACTGTCACATTGTCACAGAAACTGTTTCAATATGACTTCTCTGGAACATGTGAGTCGCAGGGTTCGAGGGATACGGACCTCCACATATGGGACAAAACATGCCTCACAGGTTAGTGTACCTCTGTATTTTGGCAGATAAAAAAAAAACAACAACAACAACATATAACAGTTCTACTACTTTTAATAGCCTTGATAAAGCTTGAACAAAGACTGGGTTAGGGTTATCTGATACTCTCCAAACAGGTTCCTACACAGACTCCTCAGGCCTGGATCACATTCGACAAAGCATTGCAGACTTCATCACAATTTGAGATGGAGTGCTTTCTTCTGCCAGCAACGTTTTCATTTCTGGAGGATCACAAAGAGCTTTGATGGTAATGACGTTTAATACAGTCATATAGTCCATCGCAAGAACAAAGCACACAGCACTGTGGGGAAAAAAAAACAGAAGTAAAAGTATCCAACCCATATAAAAATGTTTAAATAACATCAAACGTAGTGACTTTGACAAAGAATTGTGCTAGTATTTGCTCAACAGAAATATATCAATCAGTTTCTTATTTTTTCTTGCATAATATGTGCAATATTATTATTATATATATTTTTTTTTTTTATTTTACTCAGTTTAAGTTATATTTTTTATATTGGAAACAGCCTTAATTGTACCTACTGTTATCCTATAGTTAAAAGTGCCCTTAATATTTTAATTGTACTGAATCAGTACCATCAGTGTCAGTATGTTGTTTGTAATATTATCCAATGTTCAATTGATTGTTTTTATGGCTCATGGTGCACTTTGAGCTTCTTGCACATGTTTTCCAATGTGATTTTTTTTAAACTACAAATAGCAAATAAAGTAACCTAACCTATAACCTAACCTAACCTAACTATTACGTTTCTGGAGAAAAGATTCCACCTGCCTGTATTCATGCAATGTCATTGGGTTGTCTAGAATGTTCCACAGTATTGCACTAAACTTATCCATGTTTTACTGATTAAATTACAGGTGTTTTATTGCTCATAATATCTTCAAAAACATATATTCTCATTCGGAGCAGCACTGCCTCTCTCCTCTCCACAAATTTGACATATAACCCTTTTTGATGTTATCAGTTTGTTTTTATGTGGATTGATATGTTTAATGCCATATTATGGAACATTTTAAATAAATCAATGACATCTATCTCATGTGGTGGATCCTCTCACAGCAAAGTTATAAAGCTTGTTCACTGATATTTAAAGGTGCACTGTAAAACTTTTTGGTTGAAGGCCAATCACCTGCTTGTTTCCATGGATACAAGCCTTGCTGTGCCTGGAATGTTCCACAGTATGGCAATAAACAGTTTTAACTTACATTTATTCATTATTACAGGTGGCTTCATAGCTCAAAAATACCTAGGGAAACAGACATTCTGACTGTGAGAAGGGTTACTTCTCCACTAATCTGACATGTAACTTGGTCTGGTTTGGTCTCCATGAGGATAGAAATGTTTAATACCACACTGTGAAACATCACAGACGAAGGAATCAAACATCAAACATCTCCAGAGCGAAAAGCATTTAACGGGCCTGCCATTAGAATTTACAGAATTTACCTTTAAGTATGTGAATGGTTTTATGTGTTGAGGCGATGGTGAAGCTGCTTGCTGGTGAAGAATGGGACATCCCGACAGGTGTTTTGACCCCAGTGCCCTTCCCACTCACTCTGCCCATGCTGCTGGATGAGGCTGGGGTCAGACTGGAACCCTATAAGTTACACAGGGACCAGAATTGGGCGATTAACGTGGATGAGCTACACCGAGCTTTAACTACAGCTAGAGGGCGCTGTAAACCCAGAGTCATCTTTATAAGTAACTGGCAATCCCACAGGTGAGTGTCCAGTTTCTTTTTAACGTCATTTTAGTTGCCAGACCTGTACTTGTTAAATTATCCTCCCACAAGCCACGTCCAGAGCAGGAAATCCATACATGAAGTGATTCAATTTGCTGCAGCTGAAAGTCTGCTGCTTTTGGTCCATGAGGTGAACATGTGTTGATTATATACAATAATATATTTAAAGGGTCTGTATTATGTACTACTTTAGTTACAACTTTTAAAACATGAGACCAGCAAGAAGACCATTTTGTTGTGAACAGTGAAAAAACTTGATGAGGGGACATTTAAACAGGAACATACAAAACTCTTCATTTTCTGCCATATTGCCTAGTCTAATGTGTTTTTTTGTTGTTGTTGTTGTTTTTTTTCCAGGTCTACCAGGAGTATGTCTTTGGAGATGGGGTTGCGTTTATTTCATACAAGACCTTGTTTGAGATGGGCACTCTGTACTCAGACACTGTTGAGATGGCATCCTTCCATTCTGTATCCAGAATTGGAGAGTAAGTTTGAACTATTATACTATTTTTTTAGACACTCAAATGCAATTTTCAACACAGCATTATGGTAGTTTCTATATGGTCTTATATACAAGTTTGACTATTCAGAATCTATTCAGGAAATGATAAATGTTCATATGTCATATCATTACTTTGAATACATGTTTTAGTCTCAGTTAGTTTCTGGGTATAATTTTTTGGACAACCCAAATATATATTTTTATTTGTCATAGAAATTGCAAATTACAGTTCATCAGAGGAGGACTTTTTTTTTTAAAAGTTCTGATTACTTATAACATATCTTCAAATCTCTTGGTGGCACTTTATAGGCCTAGAGCAGGGATCTCCAACTTTTTGTTTCTGGTGAGCTACCTTTACAAAATGAAAATACCACAGAGCTATTAATTTTAGCAGTGCAAGGAACTGAGTCGATATAAGAGGGCAAGCTTTAGATGTTGTACAGATAGATGCCTATAAAACATCAAAACCAAACCATTACCTATTTATTAGTGCACAAAGTTCAAAATAACACATTTACAATGGCAATAGAGACTGTCTTACCTATCCATCCATGTCTCAGGTGTGGTCTGAGGGTGGGCTATATGGAACTGATGAATATCGACCCGCGAGTGATGCATTTTTTGGACATCATGCTCTGCACAGACATCAATACTCCAGTCATGGGACAGCTGGCCTTAGATCTGATGGTCAATCCCCGAAACCTGGGGACAAGTACTACCACACATACACAAAGGTACAGCTATACAATACATGCACAAGTATTACCTATGTCTATATTACTATGTACATTGCAACCTTGAGCTTTTGTTTCTATTTAAGGAGAAAATGCATGTTGAAAATACCCTGAAGAAGAATTGTTGGAGAGCTTGTGAAGTGTTAAATAATGTGCCTGGGGTGAGCTGTGAGTCGGTGGTGGGCCGAGTCTACCTCTATCCCTGTGTGAATGTACTTGCTGCTATCGTAAAACAGGTCAAGGTATGTTCAAGTTTTATCCAAGGAATAAAATACCATATTTCTGGTCTGACTGCATTTAAAGACACTACCAGAAAACAAACAAAAACATGTAAAAAATTGCATTAAAGATACAGTATGTAACTTTCTGGAGGTGGCACATCAAATGCATGATTCTATGCAGATGGAAAGTTAAAGCCATACTTCACAACATTCCCCATGAATAAAGATAATTTGTATGCCATACTGTGGAATATTATTGCCAAAGGAACAACATTTCCATGGAAAAAAGCAGGATGAGTTCCACCTCCAGGCCAAGGAAGACTCAGGTTTGTCGAGGCGCACGCCTGCTCACATAAATGGATGCATGTTTTTTCAGTGCAGTGAACACAACCAAAATCAAACCAGCATTTTATTTTTGTCTTTTTTTACAATAATAATAATAATAATAATAATAATAATAATAATAATAATAATAATTGTTCATTTAATAGATTCCACTTTTTACATTTAATTTTATGTTGAGCTTTATTATTATTGTCTGAGGTTGAGAGCACTTAAAATTAACTTCCTTATTACACCCTCATACTTTACTGTGGACTGCTGACTGTGTTGTGTACAGGAGATGCAGGTGGAGCTGGGCTCTTTGTACTGTGATCAGCTGATGCAGAAACAGGCTGTGCTGATTGGACCAAGCTGCGCACATGGACCTCCGCCTGGCACCTATCATTTCAGGTATGAGCCATTTGTTGTCATAAATATATAACCATTTACATTATTAGAATACATATTTAGGGAGGCATGTCATATATATATATAAAAAAGAAGGAATGCATTTAAGGTTATACTGAACCATAGACTGTATGAAGAATATGTACAGACTACTAGCATGTATTGAACACACTCACATTTCAAAAGAGTGCACTAATATAACCCATGTCACCCTACAGTACAAATGTTAGGAAGATGCTCCTATTAAGCTCAGAAAATAATATTTATCTTTCATATACTGAATGAGAAGTTGTTAAGTAATTATTCTTCACATGTGTTTGTGTTTGTGTGTGTGTGTGAGCACATGTGTGTGTGCGTGTGTGTGCGTGTGTGTGTGCGTGTATGCATGTACATGTGTGTTTGTGTGTGGTATGGCAGGCTGTGTATTCTGGTTTCTTCAGATGTTTTGGAAGAAGCTTTGGGCCAGATACAGAAGTTCCACAGAGGTCACCTGGAGTCCAGCCCAGAAATGTAACCAGAATTCAAGCACCTACAGA